CTATAAATAGCAAGTAGTCCAGATGGGGTTCCAACCCAACTCTGTCTGGCCTCAGTGCTTATGCCCTCTCCATGACATCTCACTGACCTCCATGTCAGCAAGGCCTGACTTCTAACGTGATTGGAAATGTATTAGCCAAGTTGTCATTAAGCTCTTTGTGTCTTTGTTTTCTCATCTTTAAGATGAAAAAATACTAGCTAACACTCAGGGGTGAAACATAAAACACAGATTCAAAACAAGACAGTACCTATCATAACATGGGCATTAATAAATGATTGCTTTACTTTACATCAATTATCTGAGACAGAAACCATAAAAGGAACTTTCCATAATTTGACATCATTCAGCCTAATTTTCTTTCCATCCCCAGATACTCAACACCATAACCATTCAATTAATAAAATGTAAAGTAAAAGAAGTATAATATTTTTTTTAACTCTAACTCTTTGAAAACTGTTAACCAATGTATGGATAGAATACAACTGTTCAGTTAACCCACATTTCTGGACCATGGTGAAAATGCAGGTGTCATGATGGATTATCCAATTGGGAGAATATGCATGTGCTTAGGAAACCAGCAAATGGAATATACCTGAGATATGAGATAGGTTCCATCTACAATGAATGTTTGCAAAATTTTATAATCTGAAAATCTAGAAAATAAAAGCTGTTAAAATTTAAGCACTTAAATTTTGGTTTTGGATTTAGTCATTTAAAATTTTTTTCAATATGGCTGGATGCTTAGAAAGAAGGCATCTAAAACTTTCTAGTAAGACACTACCTGAATATGGTTCTGAAAAACCTTGCAAAGTTTGTTGATAAATTTACAATTTACCAAACACTTCAAAAACATAGTATCCAGTAATATTTTCCAGAATGGAATGCTTTTGTCATCTTACCTGTTCAGAAAAGTGTTTTCTTTACTGTTGACTCTACCAAAGAAATCTAAATAATGCTTTGGTTGACAGACAATAATTGTTAAGCCCATAAATATGCCACTTTTGACATGTTTATATAAGTATCTGTATAGAATCTTTTATTTCACATGAAAGTAGTCTTAGCTTACTTTCAATAAGATATGACATGTTTATCTTCAGTGTAAGATCTTAAACTAAATGTTTAGAAAATAAGAATGCATCATCATACAAGGTTTTGGGAAGAACATTTTATTGCTAAGCATATCCTTGAACAAAAATGCAAATATGAAATAAAAGAGAAAAGGAAAAAGGAAAAGCGGTAACATCACAACATCATAAATAAATTCCATAAAAGTCTGCTCATAAAACAACAGGAATATGATAGAAGCTCACATACAGAATGCACATGTTCCCATAAAATTGTCCAAATAGAACTTACACTGAAAGGAATATAACAAATGTATTTTTACTCAAATTTTTTAAAAAAAATGTAAAGAAAGAAATCAGAAAATCAATTCACAAGACCTCAAGACTCCAAGAACAGCAATCTTTTAAAGACATCAAGATATAATCAACTTTATATAGGTTGGGCCATTTAGGCTATCTAAATTCGTGCTTTGATATCTCTTTATAATCCTGTCTTTCTTAATGACAAAAAAAATTTCAAAACTCTTAACACATTGAAATATCAGATAATGAGGAACACTTCTTTCCATACACATTAGTAAAGGCTACCATTGTTTAGATTGCACTTTTGCCCCATATCTTTAAGGTATTTTTTCAAATCAAATATTCATGCAACTTACAAAGACCAGCAAGAGTAGATTTCTAAATCTAAACAGCTGATTGATTTTCATCTGTACAAAAGAAATTGTATATACCTGACCCTCCAGAGGACACACTTAATTTTTGTGTGAATATTTGTCTTGCTTTGTCTCTTGCTTTTTGGATAGCTATGGCCACACAACCAATTTATTGTTTTTCTGTACATTGTTTCCTCTTTTCAAAAAGAAAGAAAGACAACCAGAATATAAACCAAACAACTGAAATAAACAAATAGAAAGGAAGGAACAATTCTTAAAGCAGTATGTACATAGGTGGCTAAGGAATTATACCAGCAAAAATGTAGTAAAATATGTAAACAAAATCTGAGAAGATTTTATTTTTTAATTCTCTTTGACACAGTTAACTGTGACAAAACTAAAACTCACACTTGCTTCACATTTTAAGGTTTACTTTTTTGTTGTTTTGTCATTTTCTTTTAAAACAACATTCTCATTCCACTTCAAGACTTTAACAGGTGTCCTGTCTCAGTCATCCCATCAAACATACCATGATAAATATATCTGTATATATATTTATTTATATATATATTATACTATTAAATTCCTTTTTGTGTGTGTCACAGCAGCTTTATTCATTTATTATTTATTTGTTTAGTTTTAGAAAAGATGGGTGAAGGGAGACATGAGCAAATGGAAGGATAGAGTTATCCGTAAGTGCCAGACTACAAAATTAAACCACGATGAGAAAACATATTCACGTTGGGGGTGCGGGAAGAACTATGCATTTTGCACTCTCTTCATGCCATGTTTGGCTTGTGTGACCTTTTGTGGGTTCCATCACAAGTTGAACTCCCCTATGGTCTGTTTTGATTATTGAACAGCCTTTTAGTATTGTCTTTTCTTCTATATTTGCATGCATTTCTATCAGTCATGGATCCAGGCCACCCCCTCCCTTCCCTTTCTCTGGGAAAGGCTCTGTTTTCACTTGGAGGGCTTTCTCCTTTACCACAATTTGGCTGGGCTAATGGACAGGAACACTGTTGTTAAGTAAACCCAATAGCTCTGATAAAACCAGCCCTAACCCAGTCGGTTCAGGGTTTGGGTGGCGAATTCTGGAATTAGATCCTGAGGGACCAGCTTTTCAAATCAACATTATCATCCATCACATGATTTTGCTATGTGTTCGTATAGGAAACAAACAACAGATTCTAAAAACACCACAACCTGATATGTAGCGTGAACACCATGGTAGCGTTTGAGTTCATATGGCAATAGTCTCTCCCACTTTAGTTTTCTGAGTGTTTTTTTTTTCTTCTTCTTAACGTATGTCCAGTCATCCTCAAAAAATAAACAAAAATCCAAAAGCCATTTTTTCCCCTCAGATCTTGAAGAAAAGTTACACACACTGGCCAGAACCAGATAAGGGTGGGTTGTTTTTTTTTTGTTTGTTTAACTTTTTTCTGTTTTTGTTTTTTACATAATTAAACAACAAAAAAATTATTACAGTCAAGCTTCACAAACATTGTTACAGACTCACTTGGAGTTATGGAACAAGTAAGCCATGAGTCTCTACCTTGAGTGCAAGGTCCTCAAGAGAAGGAAGCTCCCAAGTCCAGGTGAGAGAAGGGGAGCCCCCTGCTGGCTGCAGAGCGCAAAGTGTGTGCTTTATGATACAGCAGGGCAGCAAGGACCTTCTGTCTCAGGGCGATGACTGATCAAAGCCATGGCTGAACTGTGTATAGGTCGATACATCTTGGTGTGTGTGTCCTTTTAGAAACGGTTTTTTTCCCCACCATAGACATGGTATAGACCCCATCTCCTAGGTAGAGCAGTTCTGACATCTGCAAAAAAAATCTCATTTTCCAAGGATGTATGCACTGATAAAGCAATCCTTCTGGGTTCTTTAAATGCGGGTCTTGTGAGCGGCCGTGTGGTTACACGTAGTACTCCTTGTCCTTGTTTTTCTGTTTCTTGTGGCCGCTCTTGGAGCTCGGCTGCTTGTCCTTGAGCAGCGTACCGTTGCTCTGGGCCGAGTTGCTGATGTAGTTCCGCGTCTCGTCCACTTGGTAGGACCCCTCGTCCCTGTTCCTGTACTTGTACATGGCGTACAGGAGGATCAAGATGCAGAGGGCGGCAGCAGCCACAATGCCGACGACCATCCCTGTTGTACTGCTCGACTCCCGGATCACCTCTGAGGCCCCCGGAACCCGTCTGACTCCCGGCTCCGTGGGGTTTGCTGTGGGCACATTACGGAACATGGGGGAAGTAATTAGTGGGCTCTTCAGTTTGGTGCTGTCTAGCTCATAGGCAGTGGGCAACGGAAGCAAGACTAGGTCAGGCTGGGGTTTGAGATCACGGTTATTCATTTTGCCAGCTGGCAATTTGGGCACCATCCCAGACGAGGAGGAAGCGGTGAAGCGGATCAGCTCAGGGGACAATGATGTGGTAGTAGTCCTACTAGTTTCGGAGGCTTTGTTAGGTTTAAAGTCCTTGGCTTCCCACTTGGGCGCATGTGCTTTGTAGCCACCTTCGAAGATTGAAGTGGAAAGACTCTTATCTGTTACCAAGGAGAAGGTGGTGTAAAAATCTTCATCATCAGTAGGGGGCAGGTTAGAGTCAAAGGTTTCCCCTGAGCCATACCCAGATATCACCAAGCCATCATCATCACAACCATCGCTGCCTTGGTCCGACAAGCAAGGTAACCCCGCCTCAGAGGTCATGGACAGGGAATCTTTGGTGGTCTCAATAATGGTGAGGAGGGGGCGGAAGGTAGGGGGGAGTGTAATGGAAGGTGCACGAGTAGCAATAGGAAGGGTAGCTAAAGGGTCTTCTACAAGAAGAGGGATAACTAATTCACCTCCTGGGATTGAAAAGAAAAAGAAACACAGAATTAGCATATTTGTAGGTAAACACGGTTCAGTCACTCTCAATGAATGGAGTTCATAGGTTATGCCTCAGAAATGACAATAAAATCACCTGATTGTAGCCTAACCATTCTAAGCTGATTTCCAGCCCATTATTTGCCTCTTGCCACCAGAACCTGAAATCTACAGATTCGGGCAGGGGTGTAGATTTTAAAGATACTCTCAAGTAATTATTTAGCTAGAACTCAAATAGGCTTGTTTCCAGGATTTGCTTATGGGATGATGACATTCAATTACACTGTTGCCAGTACTGATTGGCTCCATAAGCCTTATGGGATAATGACATTCAATTACACTGTTGCCAGTACTGATTGGCTATTAAAATTGTGTGTGTGTGTGTGTGTGTGTGTGTGTGTGTGTGTGTGTGTAGATAATTGTGAACTGTATTTAACATTTCTTATTGCCTTCTGGGGTTTCTACTTATTTGCTCCCATGAGGATGAGAATATTTTCCATGTCACAGAGACCAAGATCAAAGACCAAAAAATACTTTGTCCTTAATATTGTGAAGGACTACCTTTCATTTCACATTTATCAATAAGTGCAGTCTTCATTTACTATCTGCTAAATAAGGGCACATTATAAGAGGTTAAAAATGCTCATCTAACCAATGAAAATGATATGCTTTTCCAGAAATTCCTCTGACTATTAAATGACCACCCACCTTGCCTTGGTCTAAAATTATGTTAATGTATTGCTTTTGTGCTAGATGCAAAATATCCTGAGCTGGATGCTACATTTTAAAAATAACCAGCCTAGACAGCTGTGAATTACTGGAAACGTACTCTTAGATTCTGAAACATAGAGATAGCAAAGTGAGTTTTGAAAAATCCGAATGGCAAAAATTTATTAGTTTACCCAGAGTTCCTACTTACTGTATTTAGAAACATGTGGACTGGGTCAGGAAAGAAAGTTAAGATAGTATACTAAATCCTAGTGCCTTGCAGATCATGGGTACCACAAATATTCCATGGTGAATGTTACTAACCTAACTGCAGAAGCAAGCTTATTATTCATGTATGTGAGAAAGATCAAGTTATTTTTCAAAGAGAGAAAGAATCTCCAGAAGTTATAGTTCATTAAGTTTTGTGCAAAATATTTATTCCAACTATTGCTTTTAAAAATCCTCTAGCAAGGATGGCATGATGTTCCCCGTCCCAGTTAGTCCATCCGTTGAGATGCTGATACAATATCATTGAACCTCTTTCTGACCTGGGTTACTAAGCTCTCAACCAGGTACAGTGTTTTGTGTTCTGCTCTCAGTAGTAATTTTGCCCTGATGGAATGGTTGGTGTTTAAATATCTGTTACCAGATATGACTTTGCTGAGGTCTCTCTATTGGTGACAAACCCAGACACGTGGCTCAATACTGCCACGTGGGACATTCCAGGTGGACAAGCCTTTGAGTTTACACAGTCTTCCCAGGTAATTCTTATAAAGACTGACTCACAAATTATAACTCTCTGCTCTGCTTTCCACACCTTATATCTTTAATCATTTCTTGTGCCTCCATGGAAACTGCTGCATATAAAGTGTCCAGGTTTCAGATGTGCAGGGTCTCTTGAGAAGAAACCTAATGCATACATTCCTAGCATCTGAGAAGAATTGCTTGCACCTACATCAAAAGCTTTTCCTCCCTCCCTATTTTGCCAATTACACTGTGTTACACAGAGAAGAATCGAGTTGAGGAGGGTAGCAATAATGGAAATAACGTGTATCATTTGGAAGGCAAGGGACAATAGGGCATTGTGCAATCATCTCTGTTACCATGTGTGGGGAAATAAAAAACGAACCTTTCTGAGAATCTCAAAATGATATTTTGGTCTGATCTCTACACCCAGGCTTCTCTTCTGGTGCTTGGAGTTGGAAACTATTGAGCAAAATGATCTTTGTGGTTTCACCAAAGTTTCAGACTTGCTTTGCTGGACCAGCACACCTAATTTTTACATTGTGAACATATATAATTCATATACCTTGCAACTTATTTAATACATAATTTACACACTTTCGCTAGTTTTTATAAATGGGATTTGGAGCATGTTTCCTAAAGGTAATCCAGACATAAAACTAATCCTGGGCTCACTTTTCTCCTATTCTTCTAGTACGGGGTCCCAAGAGTTATAGTTAAGGTGATACACGGGGAAAGGCAGTGTTTGAATAAAAGAAGAGCAGTGTGGAGGGAGAAGAGGAGGCCCATGCACTCTGTTTAAAGGTTCCCTAGAGGTTACTCAGGGGTGATGTTACTTTCCTTCAGGGAACAAGGTAGTTCTTACGCATCTCACCTAGAACAAAGGATTAGCATGCGTGTTCTCTTCAGGCACAAACACTGAGAGTCATTTGTTTCTTAGGGCAGTGATAAAAATCTGCCTCATGTGTATTGAGCACAGAGGAAACTGGGGTAAAAAACAAGGAATAACTGATTTGTTTGGAGGCAAAGGCCTGGTGCACATAATTTTAACATAAAGGCAAATAGTTAAGGAGGATGCCAGTGTCCCTGTGAGATTAAGATCACTGTCTTCATGATTGCAGAGTGGCATTCATTTGCAATTTTAGTGTACCATCTGTGACTCCCAAATGGAGTCTTAAATTTGCCTTTTTTACCTCCCTTCAATCTTAGCTAAAGCTTCCATAGTGTTTCTGTTGTTAAAAAAAATCTACAAAATCTACAACTGCTCACTCTGCAGTTGAATCACTGCCACTCTCCTTTGCTATTCCCTGCTCATTCAACACCCTAATGCAAATCTCTCTCTTGGATTACAAAATAATCATAATAATACTGTAGAAACTAAATACCATCCTTTTCAGAATGGAATGGAAAGAGGGTTCTGAAGCTCACTAATTTATAAAGAGCTTCTAAAAAGTCAGTGAGTCCCCTAAGTAAATGATAAGAGCTTATTTCAAAACTAAAATAATGGGTATGATATTGCAGAGTTTAAATAACAGAAGCTGGCAAAATTACTAATCTTCAGTGTTCTTTGTCATTTTTTTAATCCCAGAGAAAAATGATAAATGATGCCCAGTGTCAAGGAAATGTGAGCCCCAATTCCTATAGTATTTAATCAGTGAAATGGTAGAAGCTTTCATAACCCCCTTTCCTGGCATCTCAAAGAATTGGAAAAGTGTTTTTAGTTCAAAAGGAAGTCAGCTGGGTTGTGGGGGGGGTGTCATTATTACAAATGGGAATTATAATGAAACTTTAGTTCAAAAGGAAGTCAGCTGGGTTGTGTGTGTGGGGGGTGTCATTATTACAAATGGGAATTATAATGAAAATAGGTGGAAAGTTTAGATAACTGTAAACATGGAAGGTGCCTGGGACAGGTGTATGAGTTGGGGTGCATAATCAATTGTAATATTAAATTCCACCTTTAAGAGTTAAGATGATTATAGTATCCTGGGGGTCTGTGGACACACACAATTTGAGATGAGAAGTTGAGGGACATATTTCTCCCATTATTAGATCCTCAATAGAAATGACTTAGATTCTGGAAGCCTATTTAAGTCTTTATGTTTGTCTTAATCCAAAGTGACTATACTCAGGAATGTTGGAGCAGCTGCTAATATTCTTGTTTCACTGCCCAAAGATTATGGAGTCAGTGATCTACCAGATGTCTATGCTTATAAAAGTATTCACAGATGCAGCAAGCCTAAAATCATGAGGGGTTACAGGCAGAGTGATACAAAACCTATAATCCACCAAAACTCTAATTTCCCATTCCATCTCCAGAATTTTTCTTCAGTTTGGAATAATATTTGTATCCCTTAAAGTTATCATTTTAAATCAGGAATATATACCCTTTCTTGACAGGGCTGTGTTTTTCTTTAAACTAGAGAGATCACTAGGGATATAAAAGGTCTATTTTAGCCCAGAAGGCTGCCCTGTTTTTTTGCTTTATGAGTATATTTATAGATATATAATTCATGTGTCTAGGGCTGATATCCAGCAAATGGGGCTCTCTGCCATTGAAAAAGACAGTGGATTAAAAATTTAATATAACCCTTGTGAACTGTGAGAATGTTGTAGGTGATGGTGAATGTAGTGGGTCATCTATAAAGACAAGAAGAGCAGCAGGAAGTTTCCATGGGGCTCCAACATTGCCTCTCTGGAGATATTTGAGTCTAAGAAGTCATAAAAACACAGAAACAAGGACACTGAAGAGCTAAACTCTGGGAGAGGACATCATGCTCCAATTCTGTGAGTTTCTTTTATGTATATTTAGGTTCTTTAGCTCATCTCTTATTTGTATTTTTCTGAATCTCTACTGGGAAGTTCACAGATAATGGGGAGAAATCATCCCTTTTCCACTAAATGAGTTGTTGGATGATATTCATTTTTGTTGGTGCCACAGAAGTGTGTACTTGCAGCAAATAAATATTCAAAAGCTTGTAACCATAAATTTTTCTACATCCACCTTTAGAAAAAATAGCCATGGAAAAACATGGCAAATACCTAGGAGAGACACCAGAAAAAGCTCAAGTGTCTCAAAGAGGCTTAACATTTTAATGAGATGAGAATCTTTAGGTAGAACCTTTCCCCTCCACTACTTTGTCTGATTATATAAGGCTACAGATTCTATTTTTCAACATATGCCCAGGTAAGATGAGCCAAAGCCCCTTGATATCATTATCTATTGTAA